ATTTTTCTCTTTTAGTTTAGCAGTCACTTACAGTTCTTTCAAATAAACACATGACAGTTTAGTAAACGCCACTCAGTGCACTATACTTATTTTCTCTGTAATTTTTTTCCAAAGACTGAGGCACTTCGTATTTAGCATCCAGAGAAAAAAAGGTGTAAGGTGATTTTAAATAATACTCCCCCCACATAAAAACAACTAGAAAAAAAAAAGGGTGACCAGAAACAAGAAGACTAGAAGGAATGGCATGAAGCTGTGTCAGGGAGGTTTAGGTTGGATATTAGGAAAAGGTTCTTCATTCAGACAGTGTTTGGGCACTGGGATGGGTTCCCCACTTGGCACAAGCCTAACAGAGTTCAAGAAGTGTGTGCAAAACACTTACAGGCATAGTGAGTGTCTAAGAATCACATGGTGTGATTCTTAGAGATGTCTGTGCATGGCCAGGAACTGGAATCTGTTAATCTTTATTGGTCTTCCAACTCAGGATATCCTAAACTTCTATGAAGTAGACCTATACAATTCTATAAGTAAGTCTTTCCTCCACATCACCCTCTTCTCCATCCCCCCACGAGCTGACTTCTGATGGAATGACCTTTCCTGCAATGAAGACTTCTTGCATGACGAGGAGTTGTACGGGAGATGGACGAGCAGTAGTTTATCAGTGTTACTGAGATTCATTCTGTCTACCAGAACATAGCTTATTTTTTAGTCTCCGTGATTTCCCTCTGCAGCGTCTTTTCAGGCCCGAGTTCAGAGAGGACGCACTCATCCCGCGAAACCAAAGCAGCATCCCTGAGAGAATCAGACTGAACTCCAGCGATTAAGCAGCACCACCAAGAGTTATAACTTCCCTCATACCTTCTGCATGCCCCAGTTTAACAAATTAACCCAGAAGCTCCACTTCTGCAGGGGTTATTAAGCTCCGGGCGACACAAACACACAAACTACCCCCGCCAACACGAACATAGGGCCCTCCCCACCGAGCCCTTCCCAGCCAGGAGGGGGCAACAGCTGAGCGCCGCTCGCCGAGGGCGCGGCGGGCCCCGTGCGCACACGGCCCCGCGGTGACCCGCCGGTGTCCCGGGCCCCTCACAGCGGCGCCGCGCCCGCCGCACGCCACCGCCTCGGCGGAAGGACACGGCACACGGCCGCACAGGGGCTTTCCGCGTCCCTCCGCGCCGGGCGGCGCAGGCCGGGGGCAGGCACGGCGGGGCCACGGCCGCTGCCCCCGCACTCACCCGCAGCCTTGTCCGCCGCCATCTCCGCCTCGGCCGCGGCTCCGTGCGGGACCGCGCAGCCCGAGCGCGCCGGTAGCTGTCGGGAGTCCCCCGCGCGCTGCGCCACGGGCGCTGCCCGACCGCCGCCGCCGCCGACCGGCCGCTGCCCCCGGCACCACTTTGCCGCCGCCGCCGCTGCCCTGCGCACACCGGGCCCGGCCCGCCGGCTGCGCCGCCCGCCCCGATTCGCCCGCCGCTTCCGGGTTCCCGGCGCGCCCGCGCCGTCCGGCGGTTGCTGGGGCACCGCGGATGTGACGCCAGGACGCGGCGGGGGCGCGGAGAGCGGAGCCAGGCGGGGCCGCCATGTTGGCGTGTGAGGGCCGGGGCGCGGCCTTGCGCGGCGCTCCCGCCGCACGGAGCTCGCCGTGCCCCGCTGCCTCGAACGGGGCTTGCCCTTTCTACCCCGGTTTCATCAATGGATGTACATACCTGAAGGTGGGGTGCTAAGAGGTGGAGTCAGGCTCTGCTCGGTTGTGCCAAGAGGCAACAGGCAGAAACTCATCCATGGGAAGTTTCACCTGAACATGAAGATGAATTCTTTACCGTGCAGGTGACCGAGCACCTTAACAGATTGTCCAGACAGGCTGAGGAGTCTCCATCACCAGAGATATTTAAAACCCCCCTGGACACAATCCTGTGCAATGTCTCTAGGATGGTCTTGCTTGAGCAAGGAGGCTGGACCAGCTGACCCTGTGGTCCCTGCCAACCTGACCCATTCTGTGATGCCTTCAGGAGCAATAGCAGTGATCTGAAGGCTTCCATTCAATGTATTCTCTGGTTTACGAGGATTATCAGGCAGACTATCTAAAGTGTTGTTAGGGTGCTTCTCACCATGCTAATTAATGGCAGTAAGTGCAGGTTTGGTGCCTGCATCTCGCATTCCTTCCTAAGTGGCTTTTTGGGCACTGGACACCTGAAGCCTGAGTAGGGGGACAAAACCCTGGAGACCCCAACTAGCCTTTGTAATGGTCATTATTATATTTCTTATTAAAGCAACAGGCATGGGATAAATAGCACTGGCATAGTCGTGAGTATTAAAGAATCTTAGGGTGTTTGTGTCCAGTTCCAGGACCCTCAATTCTGGAATGATATAAAGATACTGCAGTGGGTCCAGCAAAGGTCAGTGAAACTAACTAAGGGTCTAGAGAATAACAAGGAGCAGTCAAGCGGGCCAGGGCTGTTTAGCCTGGGGATAAGGAGGCTCAGGGGTGACCTTATAACTCTCTACAACCACCTGAAAGAGGGTGTAGTGAAATGGAGGTCAGGCTCTTCTGCTGGGCAACCTGTGACAGGACTAGCCTCAAGATGTAGGGGAGGTTGGGCATCAGGACAAATTTGTTCATGGAAAGAGTAATTAAATATTAGAATGGATTGCTCAAGGAGGTGATGGAGTTGCTGCCCCTGGAAGTGTTTAAGGAAAAACTGGACATGCCACTTAGTGCCATGGTCTGGTTGATGTGCTGGTGTTCAGTGGTAGGCTGAACTTCCTCATCTCAGAGGGCTTTTCCAAGCTAATGGATTCTTTTATTCTGTGATTACTTGGATTTGCTATACATAGTATTTAAGCATTCACCTTTGCTACAGTGTATCTTGGTAGGCTCAGCAGCCACTTCTTGTTCTGACTCTTGGGCATAGACTCTGTGGATGAGTGCAGAGGAGCCAGATAGGGGGCTCTCATTTGAACCCTCATAGTTATATTTACAACAGGAAGGAGGATGATGTTAGAAGGCACCCCAGAGATGTCCCTTTCAAGCACCAAAAGTTCCCCGTGTCTCTGTCACTTGGAGTCAGGCTCTAGAGACACAGGGACGGTTACCCTTAATGGCCATCGTCAACGTGCACTGTTTGCTTCTTCTGTGTCAGTGTGGGGTTCTTGTCAGACACTGCTTCCACACTGAGAGTCAACAGTTACCTGTCGATATGGGAACACTTTCTTCTATTATTTCTCCAGATGTGGTTCTCCAAGATTTCCCACTCCTTCTTCATTTATTCCTGTTAAACATCACCTTTTCAACTTGTGACAGCAAGTATAGATACACCCAATTCTGATTAAGAGACTTTAGCTTGTACAGTTTTTGTCTCACTGCCAGCAGACAACACTTGTCAAGACAGCCCAGAGAGTCTCACGCACACTGCACCTATGGCACACCTCTTGCACGTCAGAGGAAAGTTGTCCTTGGGGAAGTCAACAGCTAAAGGGTTTTAGTGGAAGCAGGATTTCTTAGCAGCCTTCTTGCAGTGGCCTCCAGTGACAGTGTTCTCCCTAACTCTGCTATCAGGCCCCTCAGAGAGGTCAGGTTTGTAGGTAAGGAAAGATTTAACACAGGGAAACAGCTGGGAAGAAATACACACCAGCTAACACACACCAGCTTTGAACACCTTTAAATCACAGCTTTAAATGAGAAAGGCCCTGTAATGAAGGATTCTGAAAAGGAACAGGATTATTTAAGGAATTTGAAGAGCAGGATGATTCTGTTTTGTAATTGAAGTTCTGAATATTCCAAATTATGTCTAATAACTTTACTATTTATCACTGCTTCTTCAGTTCATCTTCACTTAACTCTGATCTTCAGGCTTTCTTTTAGACACATACATATGAAAAAATCACACAATCCTTATTCTTAAAATATCTTATTCCAAGTCTCTGAATTTGTTGTATCTTCTTTTGTATGAAAGAGCTGTTGGACAACACCTGTATGTGTGTGCAAGTACCTGCAAGTAAAGTTGCAATAGCAAGTTCTCCTAAAGTGTATATATTTGACATTGCAATTATTTATTAATGTTGCTATTCTATTTATTTATATGTGCATATATATGTTAAAACCATGGTGTTTTGGTACAAAATAAAACCTGTAAGGGGAAGAGCACTATGCTGCAAGTCTAACTGCATATTCTCTCTGATTTTATCAAAACAAGGAAGTCACCAAAAATCTATGCTGTGTGACAAGCCAGAATGGCCAGTGTGGACCTGATGTGAATGTCCATGTCCCTGTCTCCCAGGCTTGGTCCAGTGTTTATTCCCAGTGCCTGAGCAGGAGCCTGCTTGCTCCAGAGCATGTCACATCAGGATGGGCACCACGGGGAATTTGCCATGCCGTACTGTAGCTTTTCTTTAACGATCACGTCAAAACCTATTTAGCTTCAAGTGTGGCAGCCCTGGTATCCAGCTGCTCCTCTTCCACATTGTGACATCTAGAGGACAGTAAGAGTTTGCTTTATCCATGTCTTGGCTTGAAAAGACAGGTGTATGCTAAGGAAGGCAGGAGCCTCCTTTGAAATGGAAAATGTAAACCCCCTCCTTCTAAACTATTCTAATTTTAAATTAAGGGGCTCTCAGGCAAAGATATGGGAATAAGAATAACAGTTCTTTACTAGGAAAATTAAAAATACAAATGTGATAGTACAAAAAAAAACATAGACAGAGTCAGAATATGACCTGACACCCTGTTGGTCAGGGTGTTGGTAGCAGTCCCATTAAATGGTGGCAGCAGTCCTCCTGGAGTAACAGGTGTGGTTCATGTAGAAGGGTGTAGTTTTCCTCTGACAGTCCAGTGGTGGTGTAGATGGCCCTGGTCTTCCTCTGGGAATCTAGTGGAGGAGACAGCTGCTCCTCTGGGAATCTAGTGGGAAAAGGCTGCTTGTGGTATTCCAAATCTCTCATGATATCCAAGTAGGAATGCTTGGCTCCTCGCCCTGGGTGGAGTATCTCCCAGTGGGATGATGTAATTTTATCAGTCATGCAGTGACACTCAATGGCCCACTAACAGCAGATACATCCCTGGAAAGAGGGTTGGTTGTGGAAGAGATAAAGAAAACTGCCCCAGCTGGTTTTGACAGGTGTCTCAACTAACAGAAGATAACTTCCCCACCTCTAACAGATGGCACTAGAATACACACCCCCAGCCATATCTTGCAACCTAAGACAATCCATCAAGCCATAATTTTACCACAGGATTTGTTTACTTGAGGGGTACTTACAGCAAGCTTTGGTATAACTTCCATCATCATTTTGCCATGTCTGTGGCTTGTAGTTCCAAAATATTTTCTCTTTTTCCATTTCTAGGGGGCAGACAAAGCAATTTTTATCAGATGGCCTTTTTTCAATATGGATTATTTTTTAAAGGAGCTTAAATAAAATCTCTTCTTATTAATACTTAATTGCTTATGTGTGTGGAGGTTACAGAAGGAAAGGAAGAGACCTGCCATTTATTACAATTCAAACACACAGTCATGCAATCAAAAATTTTTGACATTTTTCCTTCAAAAATATTGTGATAGCATCACTACTTTCCTCTAAGGAAAGAGGAGCATGTTTCTTGCATAATTGTTTCTTATATTATACTATTGTTTCTATGTTATACGAGGTTCTTACATCATTTGCATTCTGCTTGGGCTCTCTGGTCTCAGGGAGGCAGGCACGCCATCTGCTGTGGAAGATACAGAATAAAATCAAATACCATTTATGAGAATTAAAAAAGTGTATGTGGGAAAAAAAAACACTCCTAAAATATAACCTCTCCTAGAATTTTGTTTTTTCAGGAAAGAAATTACCACAATTCAGGCTTTTAAAACAAATCTCATTCTGAAGAAAATAAACATGGTACAGAGATGGGCAGTTTTTCTAAGTTTCTTTTGCCCATTTCTAGGTTAAATCGTTAGAAGCCCAAAGGAGCCAACTGTAATTTGTAATTTCAAGGACAGTGGGGGAAGTTTCAGGAGGAATACAATCTATCTTCTCTCAGACAGAGTAGTCTCAACATCTCATTCCTGCCTTGTACACTACCTTCCTTTAGCAGACTAGATTAAGTAGAAGTAGACCAGGGTTTTCTCTCTGCTTCTGGCCTCAAAAAGCAAACTTTTCAGGCTCTCAAGTCCTTGGAGACCCAAACCCAGCAATACAGCAATCTCCTAGTCAGCCTTACAGCTGTAATGAGATGTAAATAACCTCACCACTGATCATACTAGCAAGACCTGGCTAGCAGAGGAGAAAATCAGGATTTGTGGCATCCCCAGTCACTGCCAGGCTATGAAGAGAGAAAAGAGTATGGCCAGCTCCAAAGGGACCTGTGAAAATTACAGGTTTTTGCCAGATTCCACAATATGAAAATCTCAGCAGCACTTTGCCTAGTATATTCCAAAAGAGAATTTAATATAAGAAATGCTTTCTATATTATTAATAAAGCTCCTCTCCTTTGCCGCTCTAGTTTAAAAGCATTACCCCCTAGGTGGCACTGTCCAATAAAACAAGGCATGTTTAAATATGAAATGATCATTAAGAAAGTGTCATTAAGGTTGGAAAAGACTTTCAAGATCAACCTGTGGCCAAACACCACCATGTAACTAAAACCACAGCACTCAGTGCCACATTCAGTCATTTCTTGAACACTTCCAGGGACGGTGACTCCAGCACCAGGAGCAACAGGTTGTACCAATGCAGTTGTCAAAACCCTTTCAGTGACAAAATTCTACCTGATGTCCAACCTGAACCTCCACTGGTGCAGCTTGGGGCCATTTTCTCTTGCCCTGTCACTGGCTGCCTGGGAGAAGAGGATGACCTCCACCTGGCTACAACTTTCTTACAGGGGGTTGTAGAGATCGGTAAGGTACCCCCTGAGCCTCCTTTGCTCCAGGCTAAACACCCCCAGCTTCTTCATCTGCTCCTCACAGGACTTGTGCTCCAGACCCTTCATAAGTTTTGTTGCCTTTCTCTGGACACACTCCAGCACCTCAATGTCCTTCTTGCACTGAGGGGCCAAAGACTAAACACAGAACTTGAGGTGCCAAGCACAGGGGGACAATCACTGCCCTAGTCTTGCTGGCCATACTATTTCTTTTACAGGCCAGGATGCCATTGGCCTTCTTGGCCACCTGGGAATACTGCTGGCTTATGTCCAGCTGGATATCAACCAACACCCCCAGGTACTTTTCTGCTGGGCCTGTGGAATTCTTGTTTACAATGTTAACTAGCATAAGTATGTTGAATGTAGGAATTAGTCTCAGCTTGGTAATCCTCTTTTTGTGAATCTGTCTCTCAAAGTCAATAAAACATGCTGCTGTGAATCTCATTTAAATACAGTATTTTTACTTTCAGAGAGCTATGGAATATATTTCCCTGGAAAATTATTGTGCATTGCATGTATTTGTTCTGCCTATGCTCAGTGAATAAACCAGCAGAGGCTGTGCTTACTTTAGCAAGTCATTCAGAGCAGCAGGAGCAGATTGACAGCTGTAAACTGCAGGGGCTGAGGTTCCTCACAGCTCCAGTGTATTCTCACACAGAAGTTATTTTGCATCTGGTGGGAATTGGCCCAGTAGTGCACATCATCATCACCTATTTTGAAACTCTCTGGAAAAAAGCTCTCTCACAAAACTTCCTCAACCACAGGACCTTTCAGAAGCACCAAGTTCCTCTTTCACCTGTCTCCTGTAGATACATTTCACACCAGTCTCCATTATGTACATAAAAACTTCACAGGCAGATGGAAGCCCTCTTTTCTCACTTCTCCAGGTTCTGAGTGACACTGTTTTACTAGTTTTATATTCTGCTCTTCACTCTGCTGCTGAACATGGATTGCTTGGTGGCGCAGGGGAGGAGGAATAGCCTTTGCCCTCCAGGCACTGTAGCAGTGCCAGGAAAACACCTTGAGTACACCCTTCTTACCTCTTGCTTTCACATACCAAAAAAAAAGAGACAGGATATCTTTCTGACAGTGTTTACCACTGTGACAGCATTGTTCACAATCAGATAGAGATGCTGAGGCTAGGAGACAGACAGACAGGATGTTGGGATGTGGAAAGAGAACAAGTGGGTGCAAAACTTCTGAGAGCAAGGGGTACCTCTGAGAAACAGGGAACTGTGGAGCATAAGGGATTTAGAGGAATGATGCCACAATATCCTCAATTATTTTCTGTAATTCCCTTTTCAGAAGAGGTACTCTGCTTTTCTTCATGTTATAGTACCTGGTAAATAACTCCATCATGCACCTCTTCTTTGCTCATTCAAGATCTCCTCTGGTTTTACTTGTATTTGGTATTATGTGTTGTCCCTTCATTTAGCTCTCACAACAGCACCATTATCTTTTTCTGGTAATGGGTTTAAGTCCAGAGATCATCCAAATTGTGCCATGTAAGGTTTTCCTAGGATAAGAAACAAAATATGGTTTTGTATAATCTCTTTCATTTTTCTCTTCCAATGTCATCCAGAAGAAATCTGCCACTCAATGACATTACTATTCACATATCATCACACATTTTGGGTTGTTTACCTTCCAGTAAAGAAGGCCAGCACAAATCTTATAGAACTTTGGGTTCCAGTTCAACTCTCAAATTAACCTTTATTTCAATAAAAGTACGCTAAGACCCAATCCATAACTTGCAGAGGAGTGAAATTTCCAGTGTTACCCAGTTAGGAGTAAAAGGTCTCTAAAACATTTTGTTATTACAGTGCCTTTTAGTGCAAGCAGGAATTGATTTACTCCTAACAGGAGCATTTCTGCATGATATATGTGTTTATGTCCAATGTGTCAAGCACTACTTTATGCCCTTCAACCTTGCAGAGCTTTGACCTTAAGACAGAGAACTAGAAAGCAAATGTACTTGTGATGAATCAGAAACTTTGAGGAAACATTGGTTCTTTCAGCCCAGTCTTAAGAATTCTTCCTGTGTTGGCCCAAGCTGATATGCACATTTAGTAGGAAACTCTAATACTGGATATCTCTGGTTTGCTAGCTAGAAGGCTAGGAGCTAGGAGGCTGGAGTTTATTAGGAAATTATATTATGTCTCCAGGCACTGAAAAAGTAAATTCTTACTAATGACTTGTTTGTTGTAGTTATTATTCTCAGCATTTCTCCAGACACTCAGAAATAGATTATTTCTCTCTTGAGAAGTATAAAGCAATTTTTTTCACTAAAGAAACAAATTATTTTGCTGATAAAGTCTCTATGAGATGTTGTAAAAGCCACAAAATATGTTCAGTAGTTTTTCTACCTTAACAGTGTGCAGTAGAATTTTTATGCATGTTCTCATTATTTTTCCTTATTTTTTTTTAAGCTCTCACAGTCATTTGAATAAACTGGAAGTATTTTTTCCTCCAAAACTTTTAGGAACTTAGAAACATAAGACTGCCACACAGTTAAGTCTATAGTGATGGAGTTGGTTTTCTTTAAGAAATAGGAGGGGGGGTTACCTATATTTTGCCTAAAATTGTAAGCCTCTGTAAAACTTGCATCTAAATGCCTTCATGCTGCACATCTGAAGATCATACTGAGATACCCCTTTTTTGTTTTTTTTTGTTGTGAAAAGCAACAGGAAATACCCTGTTGGCAGCTACTATCAGTCTCTGTGTGAGTCTGTGAGGTTCAGACTCAGTCTCCAGTTCAAGTCAAAACCTCAGGTTTTAATGATACATTATTAAATACAAAGAGAGTTTTGTAGGCTTTAAAATTAAATTTTAACTTGCTGTGTTACATCCCAGGAACAAAATACTGCATCTGATCCTGATGAATGCAGGACAAAAATCCTAACCCATATATTTTCTTTATTTATAAAGATGAATGTAGACTTTATTTTATTTCAATAGTTCATGTTGACTCTTGAATTTCCAAATACATTTGACTGCAGTAGTAATATCTGAAAGCTATTTTAGCATCTTTCTATCTGTTCTTCCTGCCTAATCTAAGTCAGTTGTAAATGCATCTGGCTTCAAATGAAGAAGGAAAAAAGCATAATGAAAATAGTCAATGTGCTTCAAAATGTTAAAAAGATGGAAAAACTATTTAAAGAACAAAATATGTCTCAGGAGCTTGAGAATCACTGCGGACTGACATATGGTAATCATATGTCAGCATATGCCTGTGCGACTTCTACAGCATATCTCCATTTGCTAAATTCTATTTGTGTCCAAAGTTGTAGCAAGAAGATCAAGTTTCAATGAAGTTAAAAAAATGTACAAGCATGATGACAAGTTTCATTTTTAATTTTCTGTAGAAACAATCCTGCATATTTTTATTCTTTCCTTGCTCCTTTTTCTGATTTCAGAGACCATCTTGACACTTCAATTTACCCATCTCACCCTGTGTTAAATTCTCAGTATCAGGAAAATTGTGATCAACTCCAAGATTAACAAGTATTTATTTAAGTTGTGAAAGGTGGGCGGGGCGGGGCGGGGGGGAGATTCAAAAGATGCAATGCATAGAAACATGTTGAATTAGAAGAGGGGAAACAGTTTCCTACTCTAAATCTAGTAATTTAATAACCTAATCACTGAGTCACTGTGTATATTTGTTTCTGGTTTCTAGAACACAGAAATCCCATTCTGAACTAAAGAAATCTCCCTTTGGAAAATTTTGCTGAAGTTAATATAATTTTAGTTTCAATTAAATAGAAATATTAGAAAAGTTTTGGGAAATTTCAGCTTCAAACTAGCTGTGAGTTATGAGCTAGCCACAATTCTCATGTTGTTTCCTAAGAAATATTCCTTCCTCCCTCTCAAAGCTGAGGATATCTGTTTCAGTTTTATAACCCATGTTAAGGCTGACAAACTACATATTTGACTCTTCTGGCTACTAGAAAAGTAGGTTATTAGGAGCTGCAAATAATGTTCATAATTAACAGTAAAAATACTGACTATTGTATATGGGTCTAAGATTCTTTCCATTACTACAGTGTAAATGGAAAGAATTTTACGTAAGGATACTGCATGACAGGGAAATAGGTTAGAGCAAGAAAAGATTCCAAGGGTAACATTGTGTTGTTTGGGTTATGCAGATAAAGTAAACAGAGCATGTATTTCCTTTCTATCTAGAAACAAGCAGTGAAGAATTTCAATTTCCAGTCAGACAGGCAGGGAGTGGATTCTCCTCTCAAGATAAACCCAAAAGAACTTTGCCAAAGTAATGTCTCTAGATTAACACTACTACACTCCAGCTGAGAAATTCCCCCACATTTCTGAGCCTCAAGCATGGATGAACACAGCAGACCAGTGAAGCAATCATTTAATAATTCAGTTCCATTAAATGGGACATTGGTTAGCTACATGTGTCAAGAGCTAGAAAAAGAAGAGCTACTTTAAACATACAAGCCCTTGGGATTAGAAACCCACCATGATTTCTGCCCAAAGATTGCTGCACTGAAATCTCTTGGAGGTTTCTATCATAACCCAGCACTGTGGTGGTGGCTGGGGAGAGGCTGTGCAATGGTAGCTGCAGTTTCTGCTTCACTGCATTACCTTGTAATGACATTAGCACATATTTTACATTCTGTGAGGGGAATGCTTCCCTCCTCCTCCTCCTCCTCCCTGCCGCTTAGAAACAGTGAAGAGATGAGATCTGACACTTGAAAATGCTATAGTGCTGTGACCTCACCGGGACGTAAGATGGTCTTAGAGTGGAGGCAGAAAATTCAGCTGCCTGAAGTACTTTTGCTTCATCCAGCTGGTGTCCTACTGTCTGCAAAGCTGCTTCCAGACAGCAGTGCTTTGTTATTCACTTGACTTTACTAGCTCTTGTCAGAGTTAATTGGATTTGTGACGTGGTCAGATGTTTATTTCTTGATTCCGTTGTCCCTTGCCTTACAGAACACATATGCCAGGGGAAACAACAGTACATCTAGCAAATACCAAACTATGAAGAGATACATAGAAATGCTGTCCAACTTTTTAGGAGATAAAATTTAAGGAAATGTGTGCTTAAAATATTTTTTCCTTCTAATTTATGACAATATTGTCACTTAGCTCTGATTTATTATAATAATTAAAGCAGTTATAAAACCTTTTGTTTAAATATATCCACAGCTCTCTAGATAGTCAAATATCATATTCATTAATGTGGCCATGTATAAATGCCCAATTAAACCTTATTGTAGCTGAATGCTGTTTTGGGGAAGAATGCACATAAATCACATAAACACAAGGCTACATTTCTGGTAAAATAGTTTATTAAGTATTTGAAAAACTTGAGCTCTTCATGAAAGCCACTGCCTACAGTCATAATTTTATTATATCTTCCTTTGTGTAACAACTTTTGTTTTGTATGTGAGATTATACATAATAGTAGTTATACAACTCACTTTCTAAATCTTTACTACTATTACTGATATAGTTTTTTGCTGCAAAGGTTTTTAAATACAATGAAAAAAATATTTATGAAGTTATTGATACCTCTAAATAATTTAAATCAAAAAACAAAAATTACTTAACGTACAACTGCTACAAAAAGCCTGAAGTTTGGCATGGAATCCCAGAGAAGGTTTTATTCTGAAATGCAGTCTCCCTTCTTACAGAAGTTTTGGTTGGATGAGAGGCCCACACATGACCTTAGAGAGCATATAAACACACACATGCTTGCACCACTCTGAAAGTCACAGTGGATGCAGTCTTTTCTTCAGGCTTGAAACAAGAATGAATCAACCACAGGTTTTTTTTGTACAAGGAGTGAATAGAAATACCTGAACACTCATTATACATTATTATACATATGTCAGCATGAGCTGAATTTCATGGATGTTATATGATAGTAACAGCAGGAAGAGAGAGACAGATTGACAAAGCAGTTAAGCATGGGCTTAACTTTAAGTTTGTATCCAAATCCTCATGAAGTCAACAGCTATGCACTTGGAGCTATGCCAGGATGTAGCTGAAGATGTGACCATCATAGTCTACTTTATGTAAGCATGTGTTACTAAGATTGTAAGCAGAAACTGAGTTAGGCAGTTATTGATCAGTTTTATTAATCAGTAAGTACAGTTATTAATCTGTAAGTGTTGTAAAAAACATGTTGGCGAAATTTTTATATTGGCAAGTGCAAGAGAGTAATAAAATCAAAGAGAAACTACATGTCATCATGTCAGCAAGAAGCAGAGTGTATGATTTATTTCTATTTCATTATAATTTTATTATTAACAGACTCCCGGGGCTTTCAATACACATAAAGCTGCAGTAGCACAGGGGCAAATCAATTGAGCTTGGTGTCATTTTGAGCAGCTATTTGGAAGCATCTGAAAAATGCACAATAAGGCTAACTTCCACTCCAACATATTGTACTAGCTGAGGAACAGCAGAGGAATGTTTAATTTTTTTTTTTAATTATAGTGCTTCCACCTTTTGTACTGATTTTGACAGGCCATTGGTTCCTTAAATAAGGCAGTATTTAATCCTTCAATCCTTCAATGCACTGTGAAGTAACATTGTAGAAGCCAAATAATGTCCACCTAGACTCTGAAACTGTTACTCTACCCCACTAAGAACTTCAGGACTAGACTTACTGTCTTTAGTGGGGCAAGGTCTGAAGTAAAATCACTAAGCATATTTGCTGAAAAAGTTACTAAGCTGGAGAAATTTTATCAGAATATTATCTTCTATTGTGTTACTGTTCCTATTTGCCAACCTAATTACAAGACTTTCTTATGTTCTACTGTATTATGTTAATTAAAAATTCTTCATTACATTTCCTTGAGGGCAATCATAAAAAAGATATAATCTCCAGACAATGGTCTATAAAATATTTGGTGTATCACAGTTCCTTCATTACATTCACATGTGTCTTTCAATATCATTATTTAGCTTCAATAAAGTTGAGATTGATTTATTTTCATGATATCTAGTAGCAATCTACAAGCAATAGCTGGAACAGAAAAATAGTTCTTCTCCAACCCTGCCTATTATTGTGTAATTGATTTATTTTTGGAATACAGCTCCATTAGGAAAGATAAGTTTTTTAGCAAGCTATTCAAAATGCAGCAAAATATTAAAGAATAATAAGGAAAAGGAAGAAAAATTTCTTTGTGCACTTTTATTATTTATTAACCTGAGTTGGCACTTACTTTGATACAAAGAGTTACACACCCCAGAATGCTCCATGCTCTTGAACTGTACTCTTCTCAGCCCTAAAAAGATAGGATAAAAAATTACTAAGGTCAAAAAGCATGTACACACCAGCATAAAGCTTATCAGCTTCTATTTAGTCTTACAGTTCTTTCACAATACATTATTAATACCAAGGTTGTATCAAATACCATGAATATTTAACTGATTAAATAATTGCATGTTAGTCCACAAGACATTGCTGATATCTCATTGAATCTCAAATAAGATTAGATATTAGTAGGGGGGCAAAAAAGAATGTCTGTTAAGATAGAAGGAAAGCACAAAAGCTCAACAAAACCTAATGCTAACGTCAGAAGCCAAATTCCAACTTACAAAGCAACATTCCTCTAGACATGCTGCTGCATTTTGTGTCATTTCTTCATGAACCTCCTCAGAAGCAGGACTGCTAAAAAGTTATGTAAAAGGCATCCATCCCTACTTTCAGGTAGAAGGCCTTCCTTAGTGGCAGAAATAGGATGTCCCCTTATGAAACAATTTCTTAAAGAACTACTAAAAGCCGGCACAAAATAAAACATTTCCAGGCCTGGAAGTTCCTTAGCTTCCAGCCCTGCCAGGAGGCACAGCCCATCACCCCAGGTGACAGGGATCCTTTGGGAGGGAATCCATCTGGACACCTGCTCAGGGAGCTGCAGCCCTGCAAGTGCTGCCAGCCCTGCCGCAGAGGCAGCTGCAGCTCTTGGAAGGCTGGACCACCTGCCAAGTGATGGGTAGAGAGCTGGCAGGCAACCAGCAAGTTTCTGGCAAAAATTTGACAAGCTTGGGTTCCACAAGATTTCTCTTTTAAAACATAAGAATGCTACCTTCTCTTCACAACAAAATACTAAATAATGTTAGGAAGTGCATTTTGTACAAGTCCATTTTCTCCCTCCAAAAATACACATTGAGTAAAATTTAACTTGACAGTTTGTGGTGAAGTTCAGATAAAACCAAACATTGAGGAACATATGCCTAATTTTAAGAATCAGTATTGAAATAAATAGAACCACACAATCTACCTGGTATGTCTGTGACATCTGTTGTTTGAGTAGTGCACTACAGGGCACTGTAGAAATTCTGCAATTAGTTCTAAGAAGCAATGTATCTGCTTACCCATGGCACCTCCTCAGGCAGACGAGGGCCACACGTAGGCAGACATTGACTGGAACAAGGGGTTAAAATGTAACTCTCCCAACTTTTTGTTGACTTCCCTTAGCTAGAAATAGTAAAAGCATAACGTGGTTGTGTGATACAGCTCAATATAAAGTTGCCTCAGCACAATTTTTAATACGTATTTTAGACATAAATTAGCCCATATTAATGTTAATGGGGTTACAGTGCTTATTGTGTCTGAGCTAGAACCTTCAGCTTAGGTGGTGCAGTTTGCTTACATATTTAGAAGAACAGGAAACTCTACAGCCCTCCTACTGCCAAATAGCATAATAATTAAGTAATAAATCAGCAACTATTTAGCTCTTCAACTAGCTAAGCTAAAGAATTCTAGCAGCTATACTTTTGGGGATTGAAGGTTGAATCCACACTGATGGATCCAGTATTCCTTCTGCATTTGTGGCAGTGCTTTACACTCTGACAAAGCGGCTGGCAATCCCCAACCCAAGTTCATATTATTCAATATTCATATATTGTTTTACAGTCAGGAGTTCACTATAAGGAATGCTGACAGCTGTCCCCTGTGAGTACCTACATCTGACTGAATTTGGTTTTCAATATTCCCCCTTCAGCTTTAAACAAATGCAGGTTTCATGCACTCAGCTAAGTATTAATTAGCCTGATGCCTATCACTTGGGGGGGGGGGAAATAATTTTATGCCATGTTACATTCCTTCAGCTCCTATAAGTGTGAGAACCAGTTTCAGCTGTTATATGCACTTCTGCTTTTTTTGTGCAGGAACCTAAAGGATCTGTTAATGAAGACAGAAATCACTGCAGCAGAGAATCACTGTCCCATTCTGACCTTTGACAGCATGAAAATACCAGCATTATGGTATCCCTTTGCAGCCAGAAATTTCTGTTGTAGCAGTACAAGACTTGCGGGAGAAAATGCCTGAAAAACCAGAAAGTGCAAAGTCTTGTCTCAAAGTTTCCATTTTATATATTGCACTATTTAACTTCCTTGATCAAGGAAGGTGGTGAAGTTAAACTCTTCTTCCTTGACAGCCAGCAGGAATAGAGGCAGTACACATTTTAATGTGCTGCTGTCTCCTGCACTCTCCAGATCATCGAGAGGAACTGTGCATTCCTGTAAGGCTTCCACTTACATATATAATGATAAATATAATATATTTGGCTGCCTTTCTAACAATATCTAGCAGCATCCAGCACACATGCTTATATTGTATTGGAATATGACAATTTTGTAAATGTGGAAAAGAGACCCATTTTCTGAAGTCAATGAGTACAGCTAGAAAAAGCCATATCAAACAGGAAGGACTGCACTGCAGACCACTTGTATAAATCAAACCCTTTTCTTCAGAGAAGGACACCTTTATTTCACAAATTGATATCAAGCTGAATTTCTTTGCCCAGCTTGTATGTTCTTGGTCACTGGCATTTTTCACAAGACAAAGCAAATGCTGATCCCCTTTGGGCTGTGAGGGAAAACAGCTGCTAGTCAGAACCAGGGTATTGAGAGCATTTGGTCAACACAACTTCACAGAAGGTTTTAAGTACCTCCAGACTGTATCACATCTGTCCAAGCAGCAGCAAATATAACACAAAATGTAGAGCAGGTCCAATTTTTAGTGTGTCAGTAGAATCAGCCTGCAGTTATTTTTAACTGTCTTGGAAAGCTTAGCAGGCAGATACAGTTAATCCTTTAAAGGATTTGCAGGTATTCATAGCTTAGTAAGTATAGTGGATTAAGCCAATAGGAAATTGTAGACAGTGAAAGACAACCTATACATTTAAAAAATTAAAATAACAGATTCTTTTATATAGTTCTTTCCTGACAATCACCCTAAATTGTCACTATGTGCAAGAATCCCATAGAGTGAAATGTGAAATAAAATGTTCGTCATTAATGTCAACGTGTGCTATTTATCAGAAAGCAGTGAATTTCTCATATTCTATTTCCATTATCCTATAAGTGCTTTGAAAAACAGAACTGCACTGTGAAAACAAATTATAAATACATCTACTTATGTAATAAATAAATAATAAAACGAAAATGGTACAATTCATTGAAAAGCAGAACTGCATTGTGAAAACAAATTATAAATACATCTGCTTATGTAATAAATAAATAATAAAATGAAAATGGTACAATTCATTTTTGTAAGAAGAAAAAAGGCTAAGTTATTTTTAAAGGTCATATTTTATATTGCTTGTATTCTTTTTCAGGATTCACTGACTTAGTCTGAGCTGACAGATGTGGGACTTCAATATATTCATAAACACTATGAAAAAGAACACACATAATAAGACAAAGGGAAAAAAAATCAGATGACACAAATCTATTAGGCTGAGGAAATCGAGGACTGGCTATGAAAAGCTTTGGAGGTGGTTCAATACTGAATGGGTGATAAAATGCCAGAGGCTATTCAGTGTCATTAAGTGCAATGCACATCAAGAAGGGAAGAGAAAATACACATATATGTATATATATGGGGTGTTAGTATCACCAGGAAAGAAATCTGAAAACATCTGGTGCTTAAAGGAACAAACATACCTGGGATTTATTTAAAAATTAACAGAGAAAAATATGAAAAATCTGCCCTCTAAACATTCAGGCCACAAACAAATTATAAATACTATATGAAGCTTTAGTCATTCCATTATCAAAAACATCACGACAGAATTAGAAAAACATCTAGAGAAGAATATGAAAGTGATGTATCAAGTAATGAACTTTATTCAAAAGGTTTTCTGGTAACAGTTATTCACAACATAAATATTGGAAGGCATGCCTTTTTTTTTTTTAATAATAAACTAACTTTCATTAGATATTGTGAGGCACAAACTGTACATAGACCAGAGAAATGATGATTTCATTGATTCAGCAGTTCTATTCAGTAGGTCAGCAGTAATTGTCAAACAAAAGAGTCTCCCAGTCACTGAAGGCCTGAAGAGCATGATGGAAAAATCACTGTAAGCACGACTGCCTCTGGACATTTTTTCCACAAGTATCTAGGTTAGGTAGACTTTTCATCTGGCTGAATTCAGCAGTTCTCAGGTCCTCATGACTAGAATGTCTGAAATCATGATGTATATTGTTTGGCATATTGTTACAAGAAATTTGGCCAAGAGCTCCCATCTTCTATCACTGCTACTTAAAAAGACTCATGATAAAACAAAACTGCTTCATTAACTGTCCAACCGAAGCAGACTAATTTCCTACACATTTTTAAGGCTATATATTCTGGCTACCAGACAAACCAGTGCTTTCACACCTCAACTGTGTTAACTGAAATATAGTTGAAATAATATATGTAGGTAAGAGATACATGAAAGAGAAGAGCAGGATATTACTCCACAAGGTCATAATTAGAACCCCGCTCTTCCCAGATGACTCAATAGTGGGATATATTGTTGACTCTTGATGCTTGGAACAGAATTGTGAGACATACGAACATAGGACTAGAAGGGAACTCCTAAATCACTGCAAGTACTCAACTCTTACACTTGCAGTTGTATCACTTAATTTATTTCAGGATCTGACCAAAGTCCCTTAGTAACTACTCTATCAGATGGCAGTCTCAAAGTGTCTCTCCTCTGACAGAAAATTCTGTTTGATTTTTAGAGTCAGTGTATTCCTAGTCAGTTGATGACTTATGCTCTTCTACTAATACAGTTCCTTGGCTTCAAGAGAGATTTACCTCTGTGACGGTGCATTCAGAGAAGGAAATAATATCATCTGTTAATACTTGTTTAGCTTACCTCATTGAGCCAAGCCCTTTCACAGCACATCTCTCCTACTGTGGTATGCAATGTGAAGAGGTCCCAGCTGGCTGTGACACCAGACCTGTCAGAGCAGAGACACTGCAGACATTCTACACCCGCATTGCCCTGGTCCCAAGAGCTGTGCAGATAGGTTAGCACATTCCTTTCAGGCCTATGTGCCCTGTCACTGAGACAGCCGGTTTTCCTCAGCATGTATTCAGAACCAAACTAAGGTGGCTGCACTAATTCACTTCTGGAAATAGATTAGTGGTGGTTAGCTCAATTATTTATGTACTATACTTCGCCATGTATTGTAATTACACCCCTAGTTTCCCACTGTACACTTCCAATCCCATGGATCACCAAGCTCTTTCTCCTCACTGGCTCTGAACTGATTTGCTTTTCTGGAATGCAATATTTGTATGAAACAGACTCCAGTTTTTCCAAACATCTCTCAGTCTATCATAACCTTTGACACACAAACTGAAAAGATTTTCAGCATTTGCACTAAGGGCTTTGCTGGAATGCTGAGCCCTGCAAGTCACTACAATGACTCTGAAGCTTAGTGACAATTCTGTTATGAGAATGACGTGACTTCTTTTAGTTTTGGAAGAAATATCTTAAAATAGTAGTGACATTACTATATTAAGTATCTTAATATATGTAACTGACATCACCATCACCAAGTTCCTAAGAGATACCTGAGAAGGGAAGAAATGCAGTTAAAACAGTAGGAAATCAAGATTGACAGAACACTTGACAATGGTTCTGCACTTTTTAAGAGCAGTCTATCTTAATTTCTCACACATTCCAATCTTTCCCCTTTACAACCCAATTTGCTTAAGTAACCTGGACACCTTTCACTCCTCATGGTTTCTCTGGCTCTGTTCCATCCTGCAAATTTGTTGCTGCAAGTCATTCCTACTAATAGACACTGCACAGAGAACACAGTTTCAGGAAGTCCACCACTTATCTCACTGAGTGCTTCACTGTCATATCAGCACTTCTGAATTCGGGAAGGGCAGGGGTCTAGGAGTGGGAATGAGAGATATTGCTTAGGCAGTGGATTCTATCCTGACACAAGCATGAAAGAAAGACCAGCACAAAGATCAACATAAACCTCAAAAAAAAAAAAAAAAAGAAAAAAAATATTTGAGGACACAAAAGAGCTCCAAAACACATGGATACCACAAGAAGAAGATACCATTTATCACAGAGCAAATGAAACATAGTATCATGGAATCACTTGAGTGGGAAAAGACCTCCAAAAAGACCTCCAAGATCATTGAGTCCAACCATCTACCTAACACTGACACTAAATCATGTCTCCAAGTGCCACAATATCAGAAGGTCCAGGACCTTAATGGTCCAGAGTAACTTGATGGGTGGGAGAACAAAGGGCATTCAAGTTTTACAGATGAGTAAGGAAGGGCTGTGAAAGACAAGTAGCTTAAGAGAAAGGATACACAGTAAAACATTTAAAATGAAGATTTTTTTTTTTTTTAATGTGTGGCCTTCTGCAGAAATTTAGATTTAGTTATTGAATATCACCACATAATAGCTGTGTATACACATTTATTCTTATGAAAGCAAGCAAAACACTACTGAAGTTGAATATACAGCCTACATGTATTTACCCCAATATGAAACCATACAATGTTTACGTTACAGTAATTTATACTCTAACATATATTTTGAAAATCTTTAACACATATCTCAAATCAGACTGTATAATTAGAAAGATCTGTGTTTGTTTAGCAGAGGAAGCACGACAGTGGTACTTCCTCATTCCCCTTATGCCATCCTAATGTCCTATTGCCACTGTACCTGGCTGCTGTGTTCCTCACACATTGAATGAATGAATAAATATGAGGAAACAGCCTGCAGGAAACAGCCTGCGTTTGACTATCCTTTCATGCCCATTTCTTTGTTGCAATACCTCTGGCTTAACAAGGGTTTCACTTGATTTAGTTCAAGTCAAGGGAAGAATCAGCCCGATGATGTACCCATATACCTATCCAACACAGCCTTAACATTCCTGACAAACCTTCTGAACACCTGTCCAAAGGCAAAACAAAGCAACTGTAGATTTCAGATGCAATCAATGTAATATGATGTGAGCCAGACAAATGCTTCAACTGATCTTGATCTCCTTCCAAAACATGGAACGCTGCACTAATAAATACCATTATCAATTTCAAAATCTTCAGAGTACTTAGATGAAATACTTTCATTGTAGTCATACAGTCAAGTGTTAGCAAATTTTCATCTTGATCATAGATGCTGCATTGGCAGTTTGCAATGAATTTAGAGAAAAAAAATTAAACCAAACACAGGAAGCCCCAGTGACAAACAGAATGCTGGACAACTATAGTTTTTTGGGGGAAAAAACCCACCCTGATTTTCTTAGAAAATATGCAATGTTGAATAAATCAAGAATTTATTTTCCTTACTTTTTTTTGGTATTTTACTCACTAAGGTATACTTGCTGTGAATCAGTTTCATAAAATAGTACTTCCCCAAATTAAAATTTGATCCTTTTTCTTTATCCTGTCAAGATTCTTACCCAAATAATGAGAAATTATTTTTATGGTCCACAAGATGAAATATTTATTCCTTTATTATGAGTCAATACATTTATAAAAAAATCAGTTGATTCTCAACTTCATCCATAGATGTGCTCCCATCCTACAGGGATTAAGAATCAAACAGAGGCCTTTCCTCGAGTGTGGCATCACTGGGCTAAGGGCAGGGATAAGAACCCAGGAGGGTGCCATGAACAGTACAAGAACAGAGCATCTGTTCCTGTGTGGCTTTTTCTCTCCTCCCACACATTTAAGGGAGAGATGCATATGAAATGTGTACAGTGCTTATTTTTAACCAGTCAGGCAAAGGAGCATCATGGTTCTGTTTATCTCAAGGACAGCTACAAAAGCTTTGTGCTGAGATCTGATGCTCTCCCCTCATGCCATGGCACCCCCCTCCCTATTCTTCAAATGTTGCCTTATGTGTTAAACTGTGTCTCAACAATACATATTCTCAGCACTCTGCAGGCAGTTCTGCTCATTGTTTTTGTGCATCACATCTCTTAATACAACAAAAGGATAGATCTCACTGGGACTTAAACAAAAGCCAAAAAAAACCCCAAATCAGGCCTCCTTCCATGCTAAAGAACCTTCATAATTCTGTTTACTGAATGTATTATTTCTTTTAGGTTTGCTTTCAAGTGAGAACTCTCAACTCTCATTACCACTATTTCGCTTCTTATCATATTAATAACTTTTTTTGGTTTTCTGTTAGACATCCTAAGACATTTTAAGGCTATTCTAAGGCAGTTTCTCATATGGTCAATTTTTTGTTTATTTTCTGTTTGGGCTATGTTTTTCTACCAATTCACAGAGAGCACAGTACAGGTTAGTCACACATTCATAACTTGATTATACTAACCAAAGTCATCCATTTATACAGTTCTGAGGAGGAGGATGATTTTACCAGGCAATTTTGTTGAAAATACATCATTTATCACCAAAGATTTTCATACCAAGAGTAATATGGAAAAGAATATCTTCCTCCAACATATGAAACAACATACCACTTAATTAAAATTGTGATTTCTAATCCAGTAGTTTAAGAAAGTACATATATATATATATATATATATACACACACATATATTTGAACTCTATAGGGCTTCAAAGACTAGATTGTGGAAAAAAAACCTGAGGACATTACATGTATCATTCTCATTTTGCAGTAAATGGAAAATATCTTATTCAGACAGAGCAAACACTAAAATCTTCATGGTTACCTTGAGACAACATGCATAAAGTAGCTGCCACACCACAAATACATCCTTATTTTATGTTAGCCTATCCAAGTAGCCATGCCATCTAGCAACCAAAAAGCCATTATAAAGAAAACAGTTACTTGAGAAACAGTAATTCAGCTCCCTGAGGTAAAGAACTCCCTAAAAAGGCAGAATTGTAAATAAAACACAAGGAAGTGCCTGCTCCTGACTGCCTCTACATTAATCTGAAAAATTATTCATCCATATATATTTTTTCTGAATAAACAATGTTGTAAATAACCAAACCTGAGACATTTCACTCTTGGAAGAAATTATCCTCCTCAAACCAATGGAACAATTGTATTTACAGCATGTGGCCCTGATAGAGCTGAATGTGCCTTGAGAGGGAATATACCTGGTCTCCCAATGGAAAACAAGGACACTCAGATCAGACCCTCCATGGTTATGCATCTTCTATATATTCATAGTAAGCACATATTTTTAATCATCAATGAGACATGTAAAGCACATTTTAAATTCCACTGATTCCAAGTAATTTTAAGGGTGTACTTAAACATATGTTTAAGATGCTCTGGTAACAAATTTAAATTCAAAAATCAAACACTGAAATAAAACAGCTTTTTTCTCCTTTTCAGCAGGCCATAATATACTGCTTCACAGTTAGCTAGCCCTGACCATTCTTAAAAATTTACAGTACAGCATGTAGAAAATAAATTTAAAACCAAGTGGTACATAGCTGCACGGTCTGCAGAGCTTATGTTACCAACCAGCACAAACCATAACTGCATGAATAACAAGATTTATTGGACAAGTGAAAAATAGAAATGTGATACACAAAACTGGTCAGAGTCTAGTATTTCTTAGGATGAATCCCAGTAAGGCTCCTGAGACAAGTTTGTTATTCTTAAGGATTATCTATACAGCTTATATTAACAAATTTTAGCACACAGATTGAAATATTAATTCTGTGCTAAAGTAATCCATTTGCAAATTTGCTATTGCAACTATTCAGGTAAGTCATACATTTTTTCATTTTTTTCATTTCTTGACAGAATAACTTGAATGTTGTAATTCACTTTCAAGATTAAGTTTCAGATGACTGGCTATTAATACTAAAAAAGCCACTTTCAAAAATCATTACCAACTTCATAAATGCTTTCTGAATATTAACTGCATACAAATTCTGATCAGCAAATAATGATAAGTCACCCAGTCTTTCTCTTTTAAAGACTTAGTTTTATATTTCTGAATACATTGCAACCAAAGGCAACAAAACATCGTTTTGGAAATTTTATGTATTCTGCTTCTTCATCGCTACCTTTCCAAAGGGAAGCTTTTTGCACAGTAAATTACAAGCATGTATTGAGCACAGTGACCTCTATAATTTTGATTTCAACAACAAGGTCAACATTGCTAAGAAGCTAGTTTTGCCTTAAAGGCAAAAGTCAGCTCTAAGAACCCAAACTGGATCTTTTAAATGTAATTGAACTATAAAAATTCATTTCCACAGGCTTACGAAAAAAATACCTTCTAAATTTGCAACCAATTTTATAGTATTTGGCCACTGACAATAGACACAGACAGGGAAGCTGGACCATTACTTTTTGAATTTCATACACTGCTAACTCAGACAAAAGTTTTTAAGTGAAGAGAGACAGACAACAAGGAGCCTCCTGTTAAGAACAAGCACAGGAGAGTCAAAACAGATGAGAAAGTGAAAAGGCACAGAGTGTGAGAGAAAGCAAGACTGCACTCCCAGGATGCACAGGTGGTGTCCCCCTATTTGTGCCTCCTTGGTCAACACAGCACAGCTGACACAGGTGGCTCCCTCCCAGAGTCTGCTCTTCAGCATCACCCCAGGGCGACTCACAGAGGGATGGACAGTATGCCTGTATTAGGAAATTACATTATTTCACCAGTGAGAAGCTGCTGCAGTTAGTTTACTCTTGTGCATGTGTGCAGTTAAGCTGTTGGCAGTGCTGTTTCCAGTTAGAACGGTTGTAACAATCACCAGCTGAAAACATGTGATTTCTCAGCACAGTTGAGGGACCTGTTTCTTCATTACCTTTGTATTGTATAGGCATACCTACCTCTGTAACTGTACCAGCCACTGAGTATAACATAGTATCAAATAAAAAATTTTAACTTCAAAACTTACAATTTGATAGCAGGTAAGGCCTTGTATTTAATGCCCTTGGCAAAATAGCTACAGGTTGGGTGAGGTAGAAGAAAATGAGGTTTTAATGTTTGCTAGGCATCCATTCCTGTTCCCAGACATATTTTTAAAAATGCTACATGGAGTGGTTTTTACTATACATTTGCAAGATAATTTTGGCAGACAGTTATTTCACAGGGTAGGAAAGGAAAAAAGTATTACTGATTTTCCCCCTGCTTTTCTATGGTTGCTTCATTGTAGCTTTCCTAAATTTCCTCTTCCTCTCATGCTGTACAGCTAACTCTATGAATAATTTAACTGGGATATTCTATCAGCAAATTGCAGTTGATGAAGGCCTGATTCTCTCAACAGTTTTGCTTCCATCCTGATTTTTTGGTAACCTAACCTGAGAGAGCATGATGACCAAGCATTTTGTTTTTCACTTTCTCCTCTGCAGCTCTCGAGACAAAAATAAAATGGAGAGGGGGCAGAATGGGAGGGGTGGGATGCCTTCTGCTAAAGGTAGAAAACACATCACACAACCATCATCAAAACTTCATGTGTGGCAAGCTGGTAAGTGAATCCCCAGGGAATTTTAACGATACACATTCCTTCACAGGTACACAGCAAAATCCTCCATGACAAGAGGATGAGGCAGTGAAAGCCACCTTAAAAAGACGCCAGAATGAATGGATGTCAGGGGAAGGAGGAGGGAGAAAGAAAAGAGGAGGTCTCTCTTTCACTGTGAGTAATCCTTGGTAGCTTTATAATTACCAGGGTGTTTTTTTTTTTTGGTTTGTTTTTTTTTTTTGTTTTTTTTTTTTTTTCCCCTTAGATAGCAATATTAGCCTCTATAACAGTAAAAAAATCTGGAAAGTTGCACCATCTTTTATTAACATCAATATGTTCCTAACTCAGCACAAAGTAGCAATTTTTTATTATCATCATTCTTCCTTGTAGCTTTTTATTTTCTACTACTTTCACATATTTAAATATTACTTCTGTCATCTACAGTCTTAACTTCAAAAAAAGTCCTAGCATTATATTATTTACATATCTCAATTGAATATAGTTCACATATGAACAACATTATAAAAAACATAATTTAAAATAACAAGTAACATGAAGTAGTTTAAAACTCTCCTTACTTCCAGTGCCTCTGCAAGTGAGGTGTTTAAAGCTAATTCATCAAATTTCAGTGATCTTCCCCTTTTTAATAAAGTTTCACAAAAATCTAAAAACCACATACCAGGATAAACAGCAATCCATTTCTCATATTATATTAAAAACAATGTCATACCTTTTGATTGAAGTAGCTGGCTGAAGTTTGGACTCTATTAAGTTGTTTCTGTTAGGAAATGTATTTCAGAATCTGTTGGGGTTCTTTGTGTATTTTCCCCTTTCTCTTAGAACATGAACTCAACCTGCAGCTGAGCTGATCTGTGACAGTAAATAGACAAGCATTGCCATCCCACTCTTTCCAAATTCAAACTTTACCCTTCTTTTCCCCTTACTCGCTGGTCAATTCTGTTCCCCACCCTTTGTATTGGCTCTGCTGCTTGTCAAACACTTCTCACAAGCTGATTCAGCTCATTAAATTAGCAGAGTTATTCAGCCCTTTTAGTCATCAATTTTTCTGTATTTCTGTCATTTAAGTCAGTTGACCCAACAGTGATGAAAACCAGAGATAACAGGTGAAGGCAGGCAATAAGGAGGCCTTGCAGGGTGGTCATGCAGAAAAGTTTTTTTCTTGGCAGCTTTTCAGCAGCATTCATCTATTCAGTGATCCCTGTTTAACAGATAATGCATCGACATCAAAACTTTGTGAGTCTTCTGCACCTACATTCTGTCCATGGCAAAATACTTCTGATCAATAACTGTGCACCGACTGTGACAGATATCTCCAATTCAGCATATGGCTACCCTCATTTCACTTATTTCATACCTGAAGTACCTGAAAGAAATACACTTTCATGAATGGTGACCTACATGTTACAACAGCTGGTCCCTATTAAAACAACAAATGTGAAAGAAATGTCTGTATTTTGGGTTGCAAAGCAACAGAGAGCCATTGAGAGAAACACATGTCTAAGAAAAACAGATTTTTTTTTTTCCTGTTTCAAAATACTACTTAAAATCAGTGTTTTCCAGGGAAAAAAAAAAAAACAATACAGCAGCAAGAAAAAAGTACAAACTGCTGGCACACATAAGTCGCTAATACAGCCAATACCTTTTCGCACAGGCAGAGTCTCTGGGAACGTACATCCTTTGTTTAAAAGGGGGGACACAAGGAAACATTCCCTGCGTTAGGTTTTCCCTGAATTGCCCTTAAGGAACAAAACTCACCCATTGAACTTTTACAGAATTTAGCACCAGTCTTGTGTTACCCTAGGAAACGTAAAAGGAGAGGGTTGGCACACTTGCTTGCTTCTCCTGGAACTTCTAGCCAAAGTCGAGCTGTTCAAATGATGGTGATGTGACCCATCTTTTCCGAATTCTCAAGCGATACTCGCGAAGGAAGACCAAGTAACGAGGCCTCTTGAGAGGGTGACCACGCTGCCCTCCCCAAAAGGCACATCTTGCCCCTGAGCCGCACTTACTCCTCTTGGGTGAGAGGTGCTTCCCGCAGGGCCGGGCTGCCCGGGGAGCCAGCGGCACGGCGCAGGCCCCTGCCCATGGCAACACGGGCACGGGGGAGCGGCGCTGACGGCGGCCGTGCCGGGAGCGGGGCCGGGAGCCGCTCGCTGCTGCGGGACGCGGCCGAGGGGAGCGGCGCTGCCCCCGCCCCGGTCCCGGCCCCGCCCCCGCAACATCCGGGTCCCCGCCGGCGCCGCGGCGCCGCCGCCCGCTCCGCGTCCCGGGGAGGCGGCGGGGCAGGGGAGGGAGGAGGAGGCAGCAGCGAAGATGGCGGCGGCGGTGGGGAGAGCTGGCTCCTTCGGCTCCTCTTCTTCTTCCGGGCTCGGCTCGGCTGCCAGCTTTTCCTCTGCTTCCTCCGCCGCCTCTACGGCCACGGCCAACAACAACAACGCGGAGCTGCGAGCGGGCGATGAGGACGATGGGCAGAACCTCTGGTGAGTGCCCGCCCCGCCCCGCGGACCCGGGCGCGCTGGCCGCCGCCCTCGGGCGCCTCGGTGCCCTGCCGGGGGCGAGGGGAAGGGGGCTGGATAATGTCCCCGTCCCCGCTGGGGCTCGGTGCCTCTCAGTCGCTGAGCGGGGGGGCACCTCCCCTTGGCAGTGGCAGCTCCTGCCCTGCCCCCCCCTCCCCCCTCCATCCCCATGAGATGGCGAGGGTGGGGACCGGGAGGAAGCGGGAGACCCTTCCTAAGCGCTGTCGTCTTTCCGTGCCAGGTCCTGCATCCTCAGCGAGGTGTCCACGCGCTCCCGCTCTAAGCTGCCTTCGGGGAAGAACGTCCTCCTGCTGGGTGAGGAAAGCATCCCGATCCTGCTCCCATCCACCGCACACAGGCTGGCTCCTGAGCCCTCTCTTGGGCGCCTGGAGCTTCCCTCGTTCAGCGCCCCAAGGGGAGGGGTTGTGATGGGTGGCAAGGCGCTGTCTTAACCCTCTGCTTCCTCCCTTGCATGGTTTTGTTTCATTTTGGAGATTGTCCACAGATGCTTTAGATACGCCCCTCATCGTAGGTACCTCGCCATAATACCCTCGCTGTCCTTCCCCCGCCCTGGCTCCGTAGGCGGGGATGGCTGGATGGGAGCTGTTATTGTCTCTCCCCGGGAGCGTTGCTTCGGGGCCGTGCGGCTCCCGAGCCCTCCCTCGCCGGAGCCGGCGGGGCCGCTTGCCGGCGCTGCGGTGTGTCATGCGGACACAAAAAGCGCTTCCGTGGCCCGAGCGGCATCAATGACGGTGCTGCTGCGGGCCGGAGGGCGGGGAGGGCCCGGGGAGGGCCGGACGGGCTCGGCCCTGCCCACTCGCACCCGGCGTGGCGGCACCAGCGGCAGCGCTGCCGCCCCGGCATCTGCACCCAGGGCCTTAGGCCAGCCTGGCCCTCGGCGAGGTGAGAGGTACCGGAGGGGACTTTGATAGGATGGTAATGAGACACCCAGCTGCAATTCATGAAGGAAAATGATGCGTCAAAATTAAAAGCTTCACGGAGGAGAGAGAGAGTGAAATGAATGCTTTCAAGTGTATGTATAACTATTAGTAGTATTATTAGTGTGGTGTGTTTTGTGTTATTTTGTTTTCGGTTTTTTTTCCCTGAAAGATTATTGAATACTATTACCAGTAGACAACTTAATGAGTTCAGGTGTATAGATTTATAACTAGCTGCTTCTTCCACTCCTTTTGCCAACCTCCCTGTCCCTGGAAGGAACTGTGTTAATATTTGTAAACAGGGTTAAAATTCAGTAAAGATATTCTTGCAGACTCTGTGCACGCTCTGATTCGGCGTCGTCTTGTGGCTTATATTCTCTTGAGGTTCTTCAAGTTAGGCTTTTCTTTTTTTTTCTCTCTCTGTAATCCTAAAGCAATCACTGTGATCCTTTTCTTCCTGTTTTGATAAGCTGAGTGGTTACTTAGAAGGAGACTGAGAAGGAGAAGACTGTGAAAGGATGATAGCATAGTCTTCTGAGGCTCCTACAAGACTTACTACCCTTTAATTTGTTGCTTTGTGTGTTATGTAATTAAGGAGGATATTGAGATTGGAAGTTGCAGTAATATTAAACAAAGGAAGTATTTCATAACAATTGTCAGCTTTTTATGTGACACTTTGAACGTAAATTGGATGATTGTTCTTGCTGAAATTGGAAGATTCTTCTTCAAGCTGTGATCCTTGTCGAGAAGATTATTACAAGCTGTTGTATATAAATTTTCTTTCTTACCATTTATGTAGAGCTGATAGAATGGCTTAATGTAATACCTTTTCTCCTTTAATTGACTGTTGCTTTTTTTTTTTTTTTTGGAAAATATACAGATTTACAGAAGAAATTCTAATTCTTGCTTAGAAATTTTGTTTTCTGGAAGGCCTTGATCCAGGAGGAGGTAAAAAACCCCCAAATTTTGCATATATTTAGGAAAAAGAATATCAGCTCTGAGGACTGGCCAGAGAGGACCATGGCCATGTTTTTCATGAGAATACCTAATCTTTGTTGTTCACTTGCAAGTCATGATGCTGCTCCTGAAGCACACCATCACAGGAAAAGGAGAGGCCTTATGTATTCTGTATTAGACAGATTCAGTATGTAAGTTCTGTCTGTTTGGATTCTTGAACTGTGTTTACAGTTTCTATGTTATCAAACATTTTCTCTATGTTCAAGCTTTGTTCCTTTAGATAGTTTTGTACTAACTTTTGTTACTAATACAGAGCAATTCTTGGCATGATTATTTTCAGATTCTTTATACTTTCAGTACTTCTAAGGAAAAGGTTTAAAGCTGACCTGCATCTTGATGGTTTTCAGTCAGTTTGTGGTAGGTGAATATTTACTGTATAAACAGTCATATTGGTCAAAACTTGCCAGATGAAATATGATTTATAGTAACAAATGAGTTCTTATTTTCAATACAAACTGCATTTAAAAAAATTGTTTAAACCTCTAACATCTCATGGCCCCACCCTGAAAAACCAACTGGAAAAACCCACCATGTAGTGTTCTTTTGTTTGCTAGGACAGGTTTTCTAATTTGCCTACAGCGTTTCTATTTTTCAAACAGTGCATCTAGTTGTATGCCTAGTCGTTCTGGGAACCTGTCTCTGTCTGGCATGCTAATTCTGCTATTTCAGTATTTATTTTTAGCTGTGTTAACATCTCATTTTTAAGAACCTGGAAAGCAGTTGGAGTTATCTAACTAAAAGAGACTGGAATGCCAAATGTTAATCTCTAGATATGGCACATAGTTTTGTGAAGTGAGGGTTAACAATGTTGGTAATCATTTGTTCAAAATCAGCTCAAAATTAGTTGACTTACAGTTTTACTTCTCTGAAGTTGTTTCACTTGCAGATATTTTTGCAATAACTATTTTTCTTTAAAGTTTAAACTCTGACTGGCACCACATGTGGCACAAAAGCTTCTTATCTTTCTGTGCTTGTGTGAACAAATAATAAAAGTGTAAACTTTTCTAAACTTTACTATAAGTCCCTTATGCTCTGATTTCTAGGTAGTTTTGTCAGGGTGGCCACAGCTACCTCGTTTAGCAAACTATCCTAGCAAAAAACGTAAAATGTCCATGCTTTCTTAAGGAAATTGAGTGGTCTCATTGACATTTCTACCTATTTTTTGTAGATAGCTGAAGCAGTGTTTTTGTTGCTTTTGCTTCATTTTTTTCCTAATTTTTCTTCTACTCCTGGACTGTCTTTTGCTCACTTGTGTAATAAAGGTTGATCACAGGAGATGGTTTTTGTGATGAGAAAACTGATGCTTATAGTTGGAAGCTCTCATGTTCATTCCCTTTCTGACATTATCAGCAAGTGGAGTAGAGGGGAGCAGCTGACAACTCACCAATTGCAGATTGAATGGAATCCATAGTGCTGTAGAATGTGTGAAGGCTTGAATTCAGAGACCTGAACTAATAACTTATCCAATAAACTGCTGCATGCATTCAAGCAGTAATGTTCAAAGTCATTTCAGGATGTACCAGAACATAGGCTTCCAGCTGGCAAGTGAATTAAATAATTGTTTTCTATCTGGTTTTGTGTTTCATACGTTGCTCTGTCTCTGAAGCACAGTATATCCTTTGCCTGAAATTTTAACAGTGTCAAGCCATCCAGTGACACTTGTATGCCTGACTCTCTGTATCTCTGTTGCACAGTACTTCTACTGAATCACTAGTGGGCTTGGGTGTTTTTATGCATTTTACTTGACTTGATGATAAAAGCTTTGAGTCTAATGGGCAGTGAGAATTCAACTGCCTCATGTCCATATTTTCTCTTTACCCCAGACATCTCACTTCCCAGGGCTAGGCCTGTTTGTTTGAATCTTGGAGCTCTGTTCCTGTCTAGTGACTGTTAGGATGCTTAGTAAGAAGCACAATCCACAGATCATTTACAGGTACACTTTTCTGTGTGCACATGTACCATTTTCTGTAATAATAGCCATTCCAAATATATCTTCAAGAGCAGATTTAGCTTGCTGCTTTCTTCTAGTGGACCTGTGGAATATGAAGAACTTTAAAAATAAGTTTTAATACAGAAATTTTTTGTGAGGCTATAAAATCGACTGACTTAAATTTGTACTCGATACCATAAAAATTAGTTTTTCTTTTATTTTTTCCTTTTCAAAAAGCTGGCAACTTCATTGTCATCATTTAATAATTGAAACTGATAAAATACTGCTTGTTCATACTGTCCATATTATTAATCTCAAGTATTTTAAATTGCCTAGTACTGCAGAAGTTAACTCAGAGGGTCTATTTTTGTCCTCTAATTGCAACTAATTCACCTTCTGCAGGCAATGAAAGCCTTGCAAATGCAGTCAAATTGTGTTTAGGTCAGCAGAGTTATGCTTCTGAAGTGTCAATTGTTTTGATGGGGCATTGACCTAGATAAAATTCTAATTGCATGTTTTGTAGCTACATTTTTTTAGAATTAAGTAGTACTTCTTTGTTGTGTCTTTTCTGCTATAATACCCTTCCAAAAGTCCAGAATTAC